CTAAAAATGTGAGCCAAAATAAACCTCTCCGCTTTTAAGTTGCATGTGTAAGGTATATTGTCCCAGCAATAAGGAAACTGACAAAACAGGTTGACTGAGACAGAGAAGTAGGTCATGGCTATGACTGTACTTGACCATATGGCTTAAATGATTTTCTAACTGGTCCTTGAGAGGAATTTGGAAAAGTTTGGAAATGCTAGCTGTAGAAGCAGCAAGCCAATCTTGACAGGAGATTCTAGTAATAGCTCAGAATACCAGAATGTTGACAAAAAGGTGGTGGTAGGGGAATACCTGGCTCAGCAGGTTTTAGTTGGGAACAAGGGCTCCAATGACAGTTGGATTCCAAGCCATGTGTGTTATCCTCTGGCAGAAAATTTCCCTACATTTTTCTCAAATCTTGAGAGTTTTTAGGAGAATGATATTAAAGACAGTGGGCTAAATAATCAAGCGAAGGAAATTTCAAGGCAGCTTAACATTCAAGCTATAGCATGGATATTGGTTGCTGCTTTAAGCCAGGTTTATACTGAAAATCAGGAGGAAAAATCCACTTGAAGAATTTTCTGTTTTGCCAGTAAGAGAGTGCCTGTAAGGTGGAGCAGAGAAGATCTTGGTTGCTAAAAAAAATGATTAAAAATAGGCAAAGTACTTTGCATTGAGACAACAGGAAAGATGCCTTGAGGACATGTGAGGAGTCTGCAAGACTCCATCCATTGCAAGCTCAGGGGTACAAGTCCGCCAAGCTTTCATTTGAGAAGAGGCCCCCAGGGTACCATGCTCAAAAAAGGGCCACCTAGGGAATTTATTTGCCAGGATTCATTTCACAGTGCTCAGGATCCAGGCAGTTGGAGACCTGTACAACCATGATACAAGGAAACCTTGCTACTGCCCTAGGTGGCAACAGAACTTGGTATAGTCCACATGGTTCTTATTTTACAGGCATGCAGAGTGCAAAAGTTGAGGGGGTCTGGAATGCTTCCACCCAGATTTCAGAAAAAGGCCTGGGAGGGCAGGCAGTGTAGTACATGAAAGCATAGTACATGAAGCTGTGAGAGTGAAGCCAAGTGTGCAGTGGAAACCCCAGCAAGTTGGAGATGCCAAGAACATAGAATTTTAGCTGATGAAGCCCACAAGCAGTAAGTGGAGCCACCCCAAAAGAGAAACTACGTGTGTTACAACAGGCAAAGCTGTAATGGCAGAGCCTCCCACACCATTTAGAGTTCAATTTCTTGCCACAATTTGCCCCAAGTACTAGACATGGTGCTACAAGATTAAATGATCCCCCTGCTGGGTTTCAGTCTTGCTGTAGTCTCACTGCTTTCTATCTCATTTCTCCTTTTTGGAATGGGAATGTTTATTCTATGCCTTTGTATGTCACCAATGTTAAACTTGCCTTTTGATTTTTATAGAGGCCCACAGCTAAGAGTTTGCTTTATGTCTCAGAGGAGACTTTAGATTTGGACTTTTCAGCAATGCTGAATCTGTTAAGACTTTGGCAACTCTTAAAGATGGACAAAATGTATTTTGTATAAAGAGATGCACATGAGTTTTGGGGGGGCCAAGGGCAGAATGTTATGATTTATATCTAGAAGCCCCCTAAGAGCTTCATGAACTTATAGGTGGGGCTTCTGTAAGGTGACTGGATTATGGAAGAGTTACAGCTGGTTTGCTGTTAAGAGGTGGGGTCTGGTTTGAAAAGGCCATCACTATGAGTGTCGTCTGGAGGGTTATGTAGTCCTTCCTGGCTCCTCTCTGGACTCTCTGCTTCCTGGACACCAAGAGATGAGCACTTTTTCCTCTACCATCCCCCTCTCCATGCCACCCTCCCTTGGAGTCAGCCAACTACAGACTGAAACCTTTAACATCTGTGAGCCAAAATAAACCTCTCCTCCCTAGAGTTGCAGGTGTCAGATATTTTGTTCCAGCAATGGGGAAAATGACTAAGGCAATACTTCCTTTTAAGATTTATTCTAGCTCACACTTCCCATTTCAAGGTAACAGAACAAAATAAAGATGTACTGTTTATTGTGCAGCAGTGCTCATTTTCACCAATACTTTCAAAAAACGTTTTTATGGGCATAGTGTATTAATTAGTCTGCTGAGGTTGCCATGAGAAAATAAAATAAATTGGATACCTTTAACAATAGAATTTATTTCTCACTGTTCTGGAGACTAGAAGGCCCAAGATCAATGTGTCAGAAAGTTTGGCTCTGCCTGAAGCCTCCCTTTTTGGCTCACAGATGACTGGCTTCATTCTGAGGATTTTCCTCACAGCCTTTTCTCTGTGCCTGTACACCTGTGCTGTCTGCTCATCTTCTTATACGGATACCAATCACGCTGGTTAGAGCCAGATCCTTATGATTTAATTTACTCTTAATTACCTCTTTAAAAACCTTGTGTTTAAATATGATCCTTTTGGGGGATAAGACTTCATTGTATGTTTTGAGGGAGCACGATTCAGATCACAGCAGGTAACAAAGCTATTTGTCAAATATTCTGTATACTTTCCCCTTCAGGGAAAAAGCAAGTGTTATGAAGAAATTTGAGAAAATTGTCCTTTAAATATTATATCAAGTTACTTAAAATATAAATTTACATATGAATCATTTATGTGAGATATCGATTATAAGTGAAAAGATGAAGGAACATAAAATAGCCATTAACTCTTTTTTTTTTTGGCCTCTTATTAAACTCACAAAGATTTAGCAAATGAACAGCCAGATAGATTAGTAGTTCAGACTTCCACATTTTGTTTGCCAGAACAAAGAAAGCTCCAGAGTCAGAAATGTCAGATGAGACTGCCGCTCACTAGCTCAAATCTACGGATCTGGTCTTTATTCTCTGAATGTGTGGCTTCCATATTTGAAATGAGCCTGAGTTTTACTTAAGTGGCTTCAATGTGCAGAGCAACAAAACTGAGGCACTTTAGCCCCAAACATACGGTTAAACAAGGACGTTGTAGTATTTGTTCACAAGTACAAGTAAAAGTGTCCCTGTCCCCTCATAAAGACTATACCAGTTTGTTTCAGAACATCACTTTATCTTCAATTAAAGCATTTACAATGTTTCCATTTCTTAATTTTGTTAGTGTCTTGTTTGGGATTACCAGATTTACCAAATAAATATAAACCATGCCCATGTAAGTTCGAATTGCAGGTAAATGATATTTTTAGTACATATAAGTCTCATTCGATATTTGGGACACACTTGTACAAAAAAATTCTTCATGGGATATACTAAAAAGTGATTTGATATTTATCTGAAATTCAGTTTTAACTGTGGGTCCTGTCTTTTTTTTCTGGCAACTCTACTTCAGGTTAAAGAATGAATCCTTATAACTCCCTGTGCCCACCTTTTCCCCCATCCTCTTAAACTGCATCATTCTCTGAAAATTTTTCTAGTCTTAAATTTATGCTGCTTTTAAACTCTGTCCCAAAGAGTGAAAACATCAGTCCTCAGGCTCCCTTCCATTTAACTGCTCTGATATGTGTTTACAAATTTGTGTTAAAACATTAAACTTAGTTGAATCCAACTTCTACCTCTATGCTGAAGTATTTACATCTTTATGTCCATGTCCAATAATACTATTGTGACAGCATTAGTAGACATTAGGTACATAATAATATGATAAGAAATCTCCATATCGCTAAACCCTAGGCTCAGTCTGTTCATCTGTAAAATCTGGAGATTGGATTCAAGGTGTTTTCCCCAAGGCTCCTTCTGACAATTCCATGCTAATAGTCTTTGAAATTAGGACTCCATTAATTCTTTCACTGACGCTGGTGCACCTAAATGGTTCTCATCTCATAAGAATCCCTTTACTCTTCAAGTAAATAGTATTTGGATTACTAAATAAGTAATGATTAATTACTCAATTAATAATTAATAAATTCACCTTAAAAGATTTGTTTGAGCTAAATTCCTTAAGAGGCGAAAGGCATACCCTTTCTTTCCACTCATATTCCCTTTAACAACAGACTTTTCCTTCAGTGGGAGAGCAGATGTTGTGATAGTGAAAATGGTGACTGAAAATACTGATAATGTCGAAACATTTCCATTGCTTTGGGTTCTGACTGTTGGAAATAATTTTGCTGTTAACTGAAGCCTTCGCTTGTTGAAACGCGACCTGGAGCCGCTCCTTGTTCTCTACCGCCATCTAGTGGCGGTGGAATTTCCCTTATCGTCCCAACTTGGAATTCAGACTGCAAAAATTTTAAAGATTGTAAATCAAATGGATGAATTATTTTATTCTTGTCACTGCAGTAAAAGGGATTTATAGCGTGTTTCAGAAGATAAAATGTAATAAATATTAATAAAATTTAAGTATAATACAATGGCAGACTTTAATACTTGAGCAGTATAGCTTAAATTCGTGCAATTTAATCTATAATATGTTCAAGTGTTAACTTGACCACTGAAAAGAGAAAATAAAAGCTAGCCTAAAGTGGTTTTTAAAAAATATTATCCTTCTCAAGTGCTCTTGTATAGTCTTAAGTAATCTTTTTCTTTAAAATAAATATAATCATAGTAAATGAAAAGGAAGAAAAAGAAGTAATTCGGATAAATTGGTGCAGAATATCTCAGTTCTGTATTTAACCACTCTGTTCAATTAAGTTAGAGCTTTGCAGTCATTATTATTTAGAAATGTAATATAATGCTTAATGAGTGTTGAATGATATGTAGTTTTAATATCCTATAATCTGGAACTTTCTTCAAATGGCATAATACTGGATTTAATTGTGTGAATCTAAAGTAAAAATAAATTTCTTTAATGAACAAAATAAAATATTTTTGAAGTGTGACTTTTTTCCTATTAAAGCTTCTTTTCACTGATATAGGAAAATTATTTCTGACATTTTAATATTATTCTGACTTTTAATTTAAAATGCCAACACTGTTCTGTAGTATTTAAATCTTTCTAACAAAAGATATTTAATTAGAATACCACTTTGTTTCTTAATTTACTTGTGAATGAACTGAGAAATCTTCAATTTATTTTTCAGGGTGGGAAAATCCCCATAAGGTGGACAGCTCCAGAGGCTATTGCCTACCGAAAATTCTCCTCAGCAAGTGATGCATGGAGCTATGGCATCGTCATGTGGGAGGTCATGTCCTATGGAGAGAGACCTTACTGGGAAATGTCTAACCAAGATGTAAGTGTGCTGCAGGGACAGTGCTGTCATTCTGTAGCTGTAAAGACATTAGCTTTTGAGGGAGAAATACACCTTTTGTTCTCACTCAGATTAGCCCTTACCTTTTTAAGAGTTGCTCTGGGTCAATGGCTAGGTTTGAGAAGCTGAGGAAACTTTCACTGTGAGTTGATTTTGAAGTCTAGGCCAGCTAAAAGGCTTTGCCCTATGAGCTCCTGCTCCGCATGTTACCTCTAAGATTTCCTCATTGTTCTAATGTGAAAGACTGTGCTCATCCAGAAGTCTGAACCTACAAGTAAAATGAAAGAGTAATGCCTACTTTTCATTTCTACCATAAAGCAATTCAGTGTACTGCCATAGAAGGCAAATAAATTTAGTCTAGATATCACTTTCAAGAAAGAGTAAATGCTTTCAGGCAATGCTTTATCAATATATGTCATCTAGAATTGTTCTTTTGAGATACATGATCTTTTGTGCAATCTGTCTTACTTTTATTTTCTCTATACAATTACTTTGGTGGCTGATAATATTATAGAACAGGATAGTTCACACGTTTTACCTCTATGACCTGTCCATGATGATAGAAATGGTGATCAGTGCACTGTCCAAACTGAAAATATATTTTCATTTCCTGCTTCCTCATTTCAGAATTTAGGCACTGTCTACTCATTTGCTTTCCTCAAAGCAACTGATGGTTTCTGAGACAATGGTGATGGAAAATGACCTCTGATGTGATTTTAAATGTCCATAGATACAAAGAAAGACTATATAGCCATAAATAATTCCTGAACATACAAAGTACACTTATTGCAACATCTCATTGCTTTCTTTGTTAATCATTGGCGCAAAGCTCTTACACCTCCCCACCTCACATTTTATTATTCCATCCCAACTTCAAACTGTTCAAGTTTCTTAAGTACTTAAGTAACAGAGAAAGTCCTTTTCTAATGTCAGGCATAGACAAGATTGGATTTTAGTTAGCTGGCAACAGCTAATGTTTCTCTGTGTCACATTGAATTGCATCCGTAGCTCAGTTCTGTGGGTGTCTACTGATTGTAGATAATGCCAAGTCCAGAAAGCTACACCATAGCAGAGTTGAGGTCAAATATGCTGCTCAGTCTTTGCTCTCCAAAGCATAACATCAAAACACAAAGCCAGCGTGGCAGTGCTGCAGAGCATCTGGCCTCATATACAGATATGCCATAACCAGCAACCTCTGCTCCACCTTTAATACTTAAACATTTTAGAGTAAAGATATTTGACTACAGTCTGCTATTCTTCAGGGAATTTTATTTGTAGGATCTCATTGCTCTCCCCTGCCACACTGCCACATGGCCTTCTATGGGGTAATTCCTGACTGTCTTCCAGCTCTTCTTAATGTTTCATTCCAGAGACAGATTTGTCCTTTACTCCTGAAATAAACTCACATTTTGAGTTAAGATTTTCTTTTATTTTTTATTGTCTGTTATTTTGTTGTTATTTTTAATCAGTTAGCTGAGGTAATGGAAGTCCTGATGTCACTACAGTTCCTGCTGTGCTCTAAACCACAGTATCATTTGCCTACTTATTCTATTTTGACACAACAGAAATAAGCTAGCCAAGCAAATCTCCAAAATTAAGAACCCTCCTGATGAGTCTTCACTACAAGGAAGAGGCTGTGCTGCAAGTACTTCTTTTATTATGTCATTTAGGCTTGCTTTAACCAATTCCCTGAGAGTTAAACATCTAAATATTGCCTTCCTTAGAGGGTGCTAAACTTTACTAATACAATCCTATGAGTAAAAAGTTCTTTAGTATTTACAGATGAATATGTATATTTATTTGCACATTATGTACAAGCACTGCTGTACTAATATATTCATTTAAATTATTTACTAGATGCTTTCTCTAGTCTAGGAATCAGGGTTACAGAAGAGAACAAATGTTACACCTGGAAAGGACCGTAAAAATTAGTCCAGTCCCTTTGTTTAGTTGGGCATAAGACTGAAGCATAGAGAACTAACATTATCCTAGAATCACATAGCAATTGATTTGTCAGTGCTCTTTGGAAATCATTCTAATAAACTCCCAGACTAACTCATGGCCAAAGAAAAGAAAAGAAGGAATAATGGTGTTTTTGGTGGTGGTTGTTTAACAGTCCACATAGCTCCCCAAGCAGAGCTGGTGGGCTCTTGCACTCATGGACCTTACACTTTAGTAGGAGAGAGACAGACTGTATAAATATAAATAAGTAAAAGACATAATATGTGATATGGTAATCACTATTAATGGGTGAAAAAAGCAAGAACAGAAGGTAAGAAATACTGAGGGTTTAATGAAATAAATTGTGTATACTGTAGAATATATTTATAAAAGTCATTCATTTATGATCGTAAGTCATAGTCATTCTTATTAGACACTCATAAACATTCTTATAATAGAATGAGACAAATAAATACAAAGAGCAGTCCCATGACTTTTTTCTAACTCCTAGATTTTCTTGTCTCCTAAGGTACATTCCAGTTACCAGTTTAGTGTCAATGACCATGGTTATATGAATTAATATTCAGTCATGAAAGTCGCTTCATTTTTCATTACCTCAGTTTGATGACCAATAAATACAATAAAAGGCTCGAGAAGATTTGAAATGTGACTATTAATAATAACATGCTAAGATTTTATAATCTTTGAAAAGAATAATTATCACTTTGGGAATTTCTGTTTGAAACCAGAAATGGCTTAATCAAAAATTTCCCAGCTGCTCTCTCCAAATACTAGGTTTTCCCTATTTGTCCTCCATCCCTTATTTATTTGGTCAAAGTATAATCTTATGTTTGACATTTTCCAAGAAGATGCATTTTAAATAAAGAAAGTAATATGATAGATAATAAAATTCAACTATGTTCTGTTTGAATATTTTATATATTTTACTATATTTTGATAAGTTTAGCAAAGCTATGCACACAGACCAAGTGTAATGGGTCACAAGTTTGAGCCCAGCCAAAGAAACTGAGTGACTTAGAGAGACCCTGCCTCAAAATTTAAAAATAAACAAATAATAAAAGCAAGTCCGAGCTGTAGATCAGTGTGAAGGCTCTGGGTTCAACTTCAGTACTTTAAAAAATACGATTCAAACTGTTATTTCCTAAAGTTTAGGACTTTCTTGATCACAGTGTGGGTGCCAAGAATCAGATAGGACTTTCACAGAGTGCAGCAGGTAAAGTGAAGATGCCAGGCCCTAAGACAGATGCTTTAGGCAGCCACTTCTGCAGGAAAAAAGCCTAAATGTGCAATTTTCAACATAAGCCACCATGTAAATTGTTCTTAATTATTGCCTACGGTAGTCCAGACTCTGTTGTCAGCTTCTCCCTGCCTGGATCTTACCCAACAGTTTACACAGCTATCCTGGCCATGGATCTTGAAGATCTGTGTCCAACATGACCATTTAGAGAGCGGTTTTGTCTATTAAACCTCATTTGGCCACAAAGACTCTTTCTGGAACTGGAGAAGCTGTTGCAGCCAGGAGTAGACTCCTGACATTAATCCCATTCTCCTTTGTTCAGGATTGCCAGTCCCATGGCACAAGGTTGAATGCTTTCTCTACCCAGAACTTGATTCTTTTTACAGGGCAAGGTAGGGTCTAAGTAAGTGTATTTTCAGTCTTGTTACAGGTTAACAAAGAATAGACAAACAAAAATGAGAATAGGGAGAACAATAAGAGGAGTTCTGGGGTTGGAAAAACCTAAATCTTGAGGTCCTCAGATAAATATAAGACTAGAGGAAAGTAGCAAGAGCTAAAATCTTTCATGTATCCTGTAAATAGTTTTTGCTGTTACTGTAAAGAGAGTTGGAATTATGTTTAGCTAAACATATTGGAATTCAGCATATCTGTGACAGATCCTGTAGCCAGAATTTCTGTTTGAAAGCAGCAATAGCTTAATCAAAAATTTCCCAGCTGCTCTCTCCAAATACTGCATATTCCCTATTTGTCCTACATTCCTCATTTATCTTATGTTTGACTTTTTCCAACCAATATGCATTTTAAATAAAGTAATATGATCGATAATAAAAATTCAACTATGTTCTGTTTGAATATTTTATATATTTTACTATATTTTGATAAGTTTAGCAAAGCTATGAGCACATACCAAATGTAATGTTAACATACTTTAGAATTTTTAAATGGGTTTAGGAAATTTCAGATAGTTTTTATAAAATAGTTTCTTATTTTGCAGACTGGTATATTTTATTACAATGAGCAATTCTGAGTTTGCAGAATCTGCCTTAGTGCATAATGTAATGAGTTTCCCAAAGGTCAGTGGTATTGTATGTTAGGAAAAGAAAAGGAGAAAAATCAGAGTGTTAGTGTATAAAAAGCCTAACAAAAATAACCACAGGTGCAATCTGTTTAGCCATTCAGCAATCAGTTACTACACATGTGCCAATCATTGCAATGAGTGTAATTTGGGATAGGGATGGGGAATTAGGAAACTCAGGCTTCCATTGTGTTAAGTAAAGTAAACCATGCCCTTAAAAGCCAAATACTGATATGTGGAAGCTTAAAGAGTTGATTTCATAGAAGTTAAAAATAGAGGCTCATAAGGGGAGACAGGAGTATCATGATACAGTTAAGCAGGAAGAATAAGTTGTAGTGTCTTATATAGTACAATAGGGTAAGTATAATCTACAAAAAATTATTATATTTTCTATAAAGAGCAAGTAGAGAGGAGTTTGAGGGTTGTGAGAGCTCAAAGAAAATAAATATTTATGGAGATAGAAATGATAATTACCATTTAATTATTATGCATTGTATGCATGTATAGAATTTTCATACCATACCCCATAAATACATATAGTAAAAAAGAAAAAAGTAAACTCAGTCCTTAGTGCACCCATTTTCAAATAAGATGAAGTAGTATTTATAAGACTTACCCATGCTTGATATTTGTCAAGGGTAGATTCTGTGCTTTTCTCTTCTTTTTTTCTTAGTAGAAAAGACATTGTGTGAACACATCATAGTTTTT